AGATTTACGACAAGCTGGAGCATCTTAACGTTCAGATGTTATTTACAATGATTTTTATAAGATTCGAATTTGTTACATTTTCTTATGTTTTTGTCTTATGATTTTTTTTTACCCCATGTGTCAACAGCAAGTGTTTTAGATATTAAAACCAGGTGTGAGCAGGATCTTAGGTCAGTGGTTTCTCAACTAGGAGTCCGGGGCCCACTAGGGGGCCTCATCAAACTTAACTTTTAAGACCCTTGAAGTCTTAAAACTATTTACATTTAGTAATATTAACATTTTTAATTAAAATGCTAAAAAAAACACTAAAATGAAAATGTACAACTGACATCATATTTTGAGTTTATATAGCTTAGATAGGAGGGTCTTTGAATATTGTCTTGGGCTTCGGAGTTAAAAAAAAAAAGGTTGAGAACAACTGGTTTATGTTGATGCAGACCCCTGCTAAAACAAACCGAGACCTTTCTTTAGCTATTTACCAGGTAACTGTTTTCCATCTGAAAGCCCTATGCACACAGAGTGTCTCAGTAAGGTTTGAATCATCGGAGACATGCTATGAAATACAGCCACCCCTAACAATCATCTTTACTACGCCTTTATGGCCGGTTTATGAGACAAGCAGTCATGATGGATTCCTCCAGCCTTAACCCGGCTGCTATCTTTGTGAATAATGAGTTTAATGGGTTTAATAACAGGTCACGTTCCTTTGGAGATTTAAGACGTGTACCAACCGCTCCCCCAATCCCAAATCAAATTGTTACACATAAACCAGATTGAAAAACCCACCTCTCCCAGCGTGCAAAGCTCCATGATGATCCACACTGGGTTTTCTGTAATGACGCCAATCAGCTTTACAATATGCGGATGATCGAACTGTCGCATGGTCACTGTGGGAACATATAGAGACAAAATTAATCCAACATCATATGTTATGACATTTTAGCAGCATACATAACTGCATTTATTATGAAAAACATACTCTACTCTTCAAACGTTTAGGGTTAGTGAGATTTTAATTTTGCAACATGTTAAATTGATCAAAAGTGACAGCAGAGACAAATGATTGTTATTACAAATTATTTCTACTTCAAATAAATGCTGCTCTTTTGAATTTTCTATGAATCAAAGAATTTGGGGGAAAAAATTCAACCTTTTTCAAAAGGTTGGCGCTTTTAGTAATTTTAGTGATTTCCAAAATTGTGGGATGTGCATCATGTGTACCTAGATCAGACAAAATAACTGAATGATACAGTTAAATCAAATGATCTGTGAAGGATCTAAAAGCTGTGGTAAAAACATTATGTTCTGTTTATTAGTGCCTCACTTTTTCTCCACTATCACTCTCACACACATACCAGCACCTGTTCGGGTGTACAAAAGCTAACAGCTGTGCTCTTACTAACTCCACATTCTGAAAATGTTTGGAGTTTCGGCACCAACTATCCAAAACACATTCCTCTCAATTACAGTGATGGAATGCTGACGGACACAGCCATGGGAACGACACAGATAATGCAGTGCTGTTACCGGCTGCTGGGTATCAGTGATTTGACACTCACAGGCCTCCTGGAGAAACTTCTCTCGAACACTGTCCGAGGTGCAATTCTTACACGTCTTTATCGCCACAGAAAGAGCTGGGTTCTCCTGACAGCACAAAAACAAGAAGAAGTATTTTAATAACTGTTTCAGATTAATACCACATTAGTCATTTCTTGCAAAGTAAAAGTCATCATCATCATCACATTGAGTAATTCAATTAATATAGACTAAAGAAAGATATTTTTTGTTCGAAGAAATTCATACTTTTATTCCGTAAGGATGCATTAAATCAGAAGTGACAGTAAAAATGTTACATTGTTACAAAAAACAAATCAATTTAAAATTGGCTGAAATTTAGAAATTTGCTGTTCTTTTAAATACTGAAGAGTAATGGCTTCCATTACAGAAATTACATTTGAAAATATATTAATATAGAAAACGCATAAATGCTGCCTTCGTGAGCATAACCGACTTCTTTCGAGCAGTAGTATAAATAAGTAAGTTATATACAAGTTAAATAAATCAATAAAATGCAATAAAAGTCATTTATACCGGACATATGTAAATCCCTTGATGGACGTCTCCAAACTGGCCCTCACCTATACAGCGTCCCAGCTCAATTCTGTCTCTTTGGATCTCATAGTCCCTGGCTGAAAGACAAATTAAACCCAGTCAACACTTAAAAATACCACTTCATATATGATTATCAAAGGCCACTTTCCACCATGTACTCAGAAAAAGAAAAAACACCATGCATTTCTTCAGTCCATCTGAATCAGTTCATATACAGAATGTTTTTCAATATGGAATCCATCCCATAAATGCCATACCAACCCAATAATCAATCAAAAATGCATACAAGACTCAGTAAAGAAAATGTACTAATGATTCTTCATTAAAGGGACAGTTCACCAAAAAAAGAAAATTCTTTCATCATTTAGTCACACTCAAGTTGTGGGAAAACCAAACAGTTTCTGGACCCCAATGACATCCATAGTATTTTCTTCCATACTATGAAAGTCAATGGGGACCAGCAACTGTTGGTTACTGTTGGTCTTCAAACTATCTTCTTTTCTGTTCAACAGAAGGAGGAAATGTATACAGTTTTGGAACAACTTGAGTTTGAGTTAATAATGACAGAATCGTGATTTTTGTGTGAACTTTCCCTTTAAGAAGAACAAATCAAGAATCACTTAACAAGCCCTTTGAACATCCATATGTAAAAGTGTCAAAGCCAGTTCGGAGCATCTTCAGTGGAACTCGAAGGTGTCAGTTAAAATTCTGCATGTGTGTATCAATCCAAAAAAACAATTATTTCTGTTTACAACATTAGTAAATAAAGAAATATATAAAGATTCAACCACAAGAAACACAAACAGGCAAAGCAAAAGCAACACACAGGCCCCACCGTCACACATGAAGTCTCAAGCATATGGAAGAAAGGGAATGAAAACAGCAGGAGAAACAGCTTTACCTTCATCTAGTCCATAATATTCTGTTGTGCCAATAATGAGAGAAAACAAAGTGGCAAATATAACACTGAATAACATTAAGGTCATCATTAACTGATAATTATTTCCTTTTATAAAAAGACATTTTAATTAATCAAAGCAATGTTTACAAAAAACAAACAGTAAGTCTTGTTATTAAGGCCCAGTGATTTTAACACATGTGTTCATTTCACAGTTGTGGGCAACTTATTTAATAATAAACTGCATAATTTCCTTAAAAACAATACCGCCTGTGGAGCAAATAGGCAAATAAAAAATAATGTCCTGTGTAGCAGTGAAATCTGTATTATGGGATAAAAACCTTTGTTAATTTGCTTAAAAAAATTAATGTATTTAAAAAGTTTAAGGGCAAATGAAATACAAATTATTTAAAATACAAATCAAACTTTTAATAATAAAACTTAATGTTATTTCAATAACATGAAATGCCACAAGAAGAATGTTATATTAATATATGAACAATATCTTATTTCAGGTAGACAAAAAATGTAAAAATGTAATACGAAATGTGCTGTGATTGGTTAGCTGGGCCAGTGTGTGTTGTGATTGGCAGCACTCGGCGCCTGGTCGGGAAATGTCATGCCCCTTACCATAGCCGACTTCAGTTTAAATATTGCGTCAAAATCAAATCAATTTGAGCTCGATTTAAACCCGGATGATTGTAACCATTCTAAGTTCGTCTGCCTTGGGAAAGCTAGCGTGTCTCCGGACATAGTGATAACACTCGTTGCCTTCTCTAGTGCAGCTCAACCAGGTCTCGTCCCATTCGTCATATTTGTGACATCACAAATCCCAGAAAATATGCGTTGTAGTCCAAACGAGTCGTTCGTTGTAGTTTTTGAAAAGTGATTTCTGTTAAATAAAATATCTCCTTTTGAAGTGGACTTTGAGCTTTGTAACTTTGCAGATCTTTTTTATGTTCAAACAGCAACATTACAGACTAACTAAAGTTGAAAAAGTGAAAAAGCATAATAGGACCCCTTTAAATAAGGTAAATGTTCTCCAAAACTATTGGCACAATAGTGCACACGCTTAGGTTCAAGTCTTGACTGCGACAAGATTTTCTTTTCAATAATCTACTAAATAATTTACTCCAAATAACAATATGACGAAGCTAAATGTTTGTTCCATTTATAAAATGGACATTTAAAATCATATCCATTTCAGTGCTTGCTCACAACTGCACTGTGCCTTTCTCATGTGTCCTTTAAGCACATGGCACAGCGTCCATGTGCCCAGTGCCGGTCAATACATGGAATTAGTTCTATTATTAAAATACAGCTTTCTCTATTCAAGCCCACACTGAGCAAATTACGTTTGAGACACAAGCGCACAGAAAGGAATAGACAAAACTGAACACGCTACTCTAGAGTTCAGTTTCAGACCTAAACGAACAGCTAAGCAGAAAGCGACACCGACTCAAGCAGCTATAAATGTCTCAGGAGCTTCTGTGCCTGTGATGCCAAACAACATGTTCAAAGGTCAGGTAGATAATAGGAAGTAGGTTAGGAAAATGTGTAGAGTGATATATTTGCTTTAGAGGATGCTTTTAAAACAGCTGAACTTTCGTGTATTTTCCAGATTTATAGACTTCAAGTCATTTAAGACATATTGAAATATTTACAGTATACAATTTAGATTTTCTCAAGTTAATATTCATGGAAAACACACAAAATGATCAATTTTTTGCTCGCCCAATCAGTTTTACAGTGATTTTAAGCCAGAGCACCATAACACTGGTCTGAGATCAGTATGAACCTGTGATACTCACTGGAAGGCATGGTGTATGTGTCCTCTTCGTCAATGATCTCAGCGTAGTCGTCTGTTTCTGAAAAGGGAAAACAGTATTTTAAGTCCAAACATACCAGGACCAGCTAAAAACAGCCCTTCCAAAACCAGAAACACTTCTTCTCATCTCCGGCACGACTCACACACTCCTTGGCAATTACACACGTCGTCTCTTCCCCATTAACGCCACAGTACTAAGTTTAAAAGTGTTTCAGTGTCTATGTATTCTGCAGGAGTTTGAGCTGGCTTCGATCACATCCTCACAGCTGTGATATCTGAGTGTGTTTAAAGAGCCGAGTACATCTGGCTGAGAGGGGGAACTGTCTTTCCAAAGCATTGGTGTCACTGGGAAAAACAGATGAAGTCATGGGTAATTTGACAGCTATTGTGTCTGTCCTGTCTGGTTTTAAGGAATAAGTTTTGTTAAATGTTCTCTACGCAGCAATGTGGCAAAAGTCAACCGATTTTGACAGCTCATATTGACTGTCAGTGAAGTCCCATGAGTGGAGTGCTGTGAGCAAACACTTTCCCCTTACTGTGAGTGAAAGGGATGTGTGTTTTCAGCAGATAAAGTCTCCAACGTGGCACCGCTGACTAGTTTCACCAGATCAAAACATCAAATTCCATTGTAAGCTACTGCTGCGAGAGATCACAGATACACACCTAGGTATTTTGTTTTTCTTGAGTTCACAGGTCTGAAACATGGGAACTGAATGCACGATCAAAAAGAAAAACAATGAAGCAAGCAACTGTTCACTTTTCTTCTGAGGTTTCAGAAAATAGTTCTTCCAGAGCAGGGATCCTCAAATCTGGCCCACGAGATCCACTTTCCTGCAGAGTTTAGCTCTAACCCTAATCAAACACACCTGAGCATGCTAATCAATGTCTTCAGGATCATTAGAAAATCACAGGTAGGTGAGCTTGATCAGGGTTGGCGCTAAACTCTGCAGCGCATTGGCCCTCCAGGGCAAGATTTGAGGAACCCTGTTCTAGAGGGAGCAACTGCAGCTCACTTTGATTTATACTTAATATTCTTTTTGCACTTATTTATGAAAAATAAATCTTGTGTTGAATTAGTATTCAACTGCATGAAGTTTGGTTAAAACAAAAAATACATCTTATTAAAGGGCAATAATAAAATTTGGAATCTGTTTATACAGTTTCTGGAAAATAACCAAATATTGGAATAATATGTGGATATGTCTGTCCTAGCCTTTGTATAATAACTTCTTTACCTGTGTAACTGAATTTTTAGATGCTTCGGGGGGTGGGGGTCGGGGGATAGGAGAGTTAAAATAGATATAACATGTATTTTCTCTGGATATTTTAAAATAAACATATTTTCATGTTATCGTCTATGTCCTTTTTTCAATAAAAATATGTTAAAAATACATCTTATATAATATCTAACTATAAATAAATAACTATATATATATATATGAAACAGTACTGTGTTCGCAGCGCGTGCTCTTCATCAAAAGCGCGAAATAAACTACGTGCATGCAATGTCGTGGTCAGTTATGTCATGAAGTTACTAAAAAGGCGATTAAAGCTGCCTTAAAACTGTGCATGCATGTAATATATTTTATATGAGTCACATTTAAGAACATGTCTCTGAAATGGTTTTCAAAACTGTCCTGGAGCAGCCCAGCACTGTCTCCCTCATCTAACACACCCGATTTAACTCGTCGGCTCATTAATAGAGACTTTAAGACCTGAAGTGGGTCAGAAAAGGTCAAAAGAGTTGAGAGAAAATATGATGCGTGTCAGACCCGCGTCACGTTCAGCAGCGGCAGCTCTTAAAGAAATAACAGCCAAAATAACCTAATAGCCAGCTGCCGTGATGTCTATTAATCAAAGGACAAAGTGGAAAAAAATAAGAAAAAATAACTTTTATAGCTTTAAGGATTCATCTATATTTAATTTAGAATTTAGTGTTT